AACATGAAGGGAAAGAATGTAGTCTTACAAAAAAGGATCCTTTGCCTTAACTTTTCGAGCATTTTTTGTTGCTTATGAAAGCCATCACTAAACCTTGTTGTCAAGAATGCAGCACTTCCCCACACTGTAGCTGTTTTTTCAGCATTTGTTCAGGAAGTTTTTCAGCATTTGTTCAGGAAGTTTATATCTCTTTTTCTGGATCAACCCACAGATGAAGTATATTAACAAATCGTATAAATTATTTGACTGCAAAACCTCTAAGTAAAATCTGTTAGGAGACCAAGATATAGGCCTTTGACCTTTTGCAATACCATATTGATGTGGTTTATGACGCTGTCTATGAATCCATCTTAGGTTTCAAGATTAATGCTTTTGCAAAATATACCGCTATGGAAATGGTCAAGAAAACTAGTTTTCTGTAGTTAACTACAGATGTCAAATTCCTCTGCTTTTTGGTCACTTGGTATGATGTCTTGTTCAAATTTAATTTAGTAAGCAAAACACTTCAGATGAAAACTGTAATCTGCTGAGCGCTTTGAAATTAATTGAAAGTGTCGAGACTTTTTGGAGAACATGCAGGGCCGTCCCGAAAGTGGGGGGGGGGTGTATCCCCCAAAAAAAAACAGCTACAAGCGTTTGAGTTGGCACATTTAGCAAGTTTTGAACTATAGTTGGCAAATTGCAAATTTTGAGAACCTTTTTTTTTTAGGTGTCTCTATTTGGCAAAAAAATACATACACCCCCCTCCCCACGGAAGATCTCTTCGGGACGGCCCTGATGTATTTGGATAACATGAGATGTAGTTTTGTAGTTGTTTTGTAGTTTTTTCAGTTTTAGACACTGCAGTTTTAGAATGTTTGTTTTAAAAATAATTTGTAGCTGAAAATAATTCTTTAAGTAAACATTCTATAACATGAAAAAAATAGAAAAACTTCAAACAGATGCGTGTTAAAAAAAGTGCAAAAACTTACATTCCGTTTTGACAGCTGATGGCAAGAGTGACAAATGAGTGAGAAATGAGTTTTATCGAAATTAAAGATTAACAAAAATTATGTTCGATTGACCTTTTTTTAGGACCGCCAATGTGGATAGTCACATTTAGGGCTGTACCGGATTTAATTTTTTAAAATCCGGCCGGAGCCAGATTTGCCGGATTTCTACAGACAAATTCGGCCGGAGCCGGAGCTGGAGCCAAAGCCGGATTTTAAAACAAAGTTACAGGAGCCGAAATCCTGTACATGCTTACTTGATATTAACAATGGTCAGCAATGTTTATCATTCTGAATACCTAGTGCCTGTTAAACTTCATTGTTATTGTTAAAATAGAAGGACGCAATTTTACATAACATATCATAACATAACAAAAAAATTGATAAATTATTGAAACTTTCAATTTGAAAGTGAACTAAAGTAACTTTTAGTTTCAGTTACTTTTCTAAAGTATCTTCAATCAGTTTTGAATTGCACTTTAGAAAATTATGCGAATTGCATTATGCGGCAGGAGTGAAATAAGATGATCATTGAGGACCTCGCCAGCAACACTGAACAAACGTTTTGATAGTACACTTGTCGGTGGGGCACCCAAATAAATGCGAGCTACTATCGCCAGAGCTGGCAATTGTTTTATGTTATCACTCCTCCATTATAATAGGTCATCGTGTCTCTTTATTTCTGGTTCTGCCAGATATTGACTTATCTGAGTGTCAATGCGTGTTGGTAATTGTTGTTTATGTGCTGTACCACCAGCGGACGTAGTCTGAACAATTACATTAACATTGTCAACAACAAATACATTGTCAGAGTAATGATGATGATGTAGAAGAATTACCAAGCCGGGCTTGTTTTGCTGGAATTTCTTCAATTTTGTCAATCTGCTGCTCAGCATGCTCAGATTGACTTCCATCTTGCATCGATACCTTCCACACCGTAACTTTATTAAATGTATATTTAACCAAATTTTTGTTTTCACTTCAGACTCTATTGTGTTTCTTCACTTAAGAATATCACGTGTATTCCCTTCAGAACTTTTGTGTTGAGTTGTTATTTGAAATTAGACTAATTAAATTGTAAAAAAATGTAAATACAGTTACCATTACAGGGAGTTCATAGATTATAGAATTACAAAAAACATTGATTTGAATAAATAAAATATTAGGTATACATGTAAACACGGTCAAAAAAAATGTAATATATGTCTGAACAAAATTCAGAAATCCGACTAAAATTTTGCCGGATTTGCTAACTTTTTTTCGGAGCCGGATCTGGGCCGGATTTGTAAAAATGGCCGGATTTTGGTCGGAGCGGGAGCCGAAATCTGGTACAGCACTAGTTACATTAGCAATTAAACACCAGGTTCTGAGTACAATTAAAAGCGCTTCATTTCTAAAACACTTTGCAAAACTTAAGACAAGAAAAGTTTTTTGCTTGATGATTAATAATATTTTTTTGTCAATATAAACTGTACGAGATAAGTATTTGTTAATTTCTTTGATTTTTTATATTTCAAAAATGTAACTTATATACAAATGTAAAAAATGTAAATGTATATAAAAATGTAAAGTACGATGAATATTTAATAGGATATTATGTTTTTATTGTATTTTAAGGGTTTTAATAAATATATATTAAAACAGATATATTCTTACATATAAATGTTTCTTTGTAATTATATTTCTCATTATATAAACAGCAAACATATATTAAAAAAAAAAAAAAAGTTTGAGGAAAAGGTTGCCGAATTAAATTATCATTTCTTAAGTTGTACTAATTTACTTTTATTTTTTAAAGTATATAGATTATAAAAAAAACACAGGAGATGCGTTAGTTTTACATGTCTACATAAAAATGTGTATATTACATTTTCACAATAGCTTTATGTAATATTACCAGGAAAGGTTTTTATCAACTTAGATATATAAAAACTTTGCATTTATTTCTCTTAAGTCACAAGACAGTAACTTCTTTTTTGAAGTTGAATGAATAAGTGTCCATTTTGCTTTATCAATATTTAGTAACAACACTGTGACTGGTTTAAACATTATTTTCAAATATTCATATTTTGAAATAATGTTGTTATGTAGCCATTTAATGGCAAAACAAATGCTTGCTAGGTAAGTAAAAAAAAATTTAAAAACAAATGCTTGCTGGGTAAGTAATCTAATTTAGATTACTTACCCAGCAATCATTTGTTTTTAAAAGTTACGTTTTAAATGAATTTTAAGTGTCTTTTCAACGTCTTCTAAACACTTTTACGTAAAGAACGTTTAAAAGACATTTAGAACGTAACTTTTAAAAACAAATGCCGTTTTGTAGTGACTGAATAATAGGTTTTAGATTGACTTTAGTTATTTTTTGAGAATCTTGTGCTATATTATATAAATGATTTATTTTTTTAAACGTTTTTTGTGTGGGAAAAACGATCTTCACTTGTAATAATTCGAATAGCATGATTTTGTTTACAGAGAAATTTACTTAATTTTGTTAAGTTAGTGCTGCACCAAGCAATATTTGCCTAGTTTAGCTAACAGTGTATAAATGAAAAGTATATGTATTTCAAGCAAGACTAGTTTAAGAACTGTTTAGCTTTGTACAATATACCAATATTTTTTAAAATTTTATTCTAAATTTCATTAAATGTTCTCTCTATGTAATATTTTCATTGAGAATTATGCCCAAAAAAAAACTTTCACGATGTTTTCCTTTTATTATAAATAAATAAAAAAATCGGATGTTTCAATGGAATATATTCTTTTTTATAAGCTCAATAGAATAATATTTAATTTTACTAATATTTAGTTTATTGGTCTTATTGGTAACCATCGAGTTAGTTAATCAAGTTTTTTTGTAAATAAATTGGAAGAGACACTTTAATTACTGTAAACAAACTGCGATAAAAAAAACTTTTTTATAGCATCAAGACATTACCTTAAATTCCTTAATACTCAATTTATTTAAATAGAATTTTTGTGATGAATCATTTCAAAGGCTTTTAATAAACCCCTAGTGTATATTCGAATTTTTACAAAGATTCAGTAATACTGCAAGTAATTTAGAGTATTCAGTTGAATTTCTTTTTTATTATTTGGAAAATTATTTGAAGGTAATTTGATTGAAAATTTTTTATATAAAATTCTTCAAAACTTTAGAAAATAAAGACAGAATAGAGATGCGTTAATTTGAAAAATTTTTTTAAACCCAACTGGTCATTTTTAGGTTTCTTGAAAAAACCCCTGTTTTATTGAACACTATAAAACTTTAAATAGGATATCTTTAATGACATTGAAAGAGTCGATAATAACATTGTAAGAGTCGATAATAACGTTGTAAGTGTCAATAACAACGTTGTAATAAATATCATTGTGACCAACTGATTTATTTGATTTAAGCATTTTAAAAGAAAGTTCAGATTAAACTTTGAAAAAAGCGTTTAATGATACAGCAGCAGCTAACTCCATTGAAAAAGCAGAGCTTTTATGGTTGATACTGCATATATATTTAGCACACAACTAATTACACTCAGTGCAACCGGCTTTGTATTTTCAATATTTCTAGACAATACGATGCTTTGAAAGAACTTATGCATTTTTAAAGCCAATGCATTTATTACCAATTAATGCTGTGATGACTTCATTAAGAGAAAAATGGCCGAACTTTTTACCTTATGCCAATTGTAATAGATTGCTTAGAGACTATCTATTTCATTTTCTATGTATAGGCAGCCCAAGATTTCTTTCATACTTTTAGTTGCAGCATTAATATAAGTATTATAAATTAGACCATTTAAAAACTTTTTTATGGGAATACATTTAACATTTCTGAAGATGCTTTTTTCAAAAGCATTTTCAGAAATGTTAAATGTATTCCCACATATTTTAAAAATTTTGATAGTCTGAAAAAAGCTATATCAATAAAAATAGTTTTTATTTTTAATAATATTTTTTTTTCATAAGATGGTTGTTGTGGGAGGATGTTTTGCTTTCGTGGTTGTTAATGATGTGTTGTTTTATTAATTGTCTTTTTTAATGTTGCGTTGAATGAAAATTAGTTTGACGACCAACAACGATAACAACGATTATAAAGGTGAGCCTTAATTTTTTTTTTATTAAGTCACAATTTTGTTGCCTTATATAGGAATTATATCATTGAAATTACAGTAAAATTGCAAAATTTGGTTCTTAATTAGTGATATTGAAAACTCGAAAGAAAGATATCTGAATGGTTGATATCCAATAAACTCTATTTAAACTCAGAAAAAAAGTATTAATACAAAGTTATATATTTACAAATTATCCGAATCACAATTTTCTAAAAACTTTCTAATATCTTTTTTTACATGCACCCTAATATGCACCCTAATATGCACCCTAATGTTTTATTATTATATATACCTTCTATCCAAACAACACAAATTTTTCTCCACAAAATTTTCTCCTAACGCATTAGTTATTGCTGAAAGAAATTGGTATTAATGAAAAAAACTGTTATTGCTTAAAGAAAAAAGAAATCTTATTGATGGTCGTACATTTACGTTACATTGGCATTAAAGTAGCTACTCATCAAGGTAACGTTTGAACCGTGTTTTACTTAATTTAACTGGTTATTTTAAATTCCTACATCTTTATATTCCAACTTTGTATTCACTCATGTATGCCAACTTATAAACAACTTGCGTATATTCCTACTGAGTATTCAATGCTGTTGTTCTAACCAACGCAGAATGCATAAACTTTTTAAATCCACAAGAAATTGAATTAAGTCAATTTTATCATCTCAATTATTAAATATTATTGTCATTTCTATGCTGGGCCACTAGGAAATTTATTCAATAACATTCAAAGCAATGCGATTGTTTGAAAATTTTTTAAAAAACTCACTCAACATAAGACATAATTCCAAACTAATAGATATGTACCATAATGAAATAACTTACTCACTTATGCGGTTTCGTCACTAACAGTATATAAATTTTGCATTAGTCATATATCCAATATAGCAGGATTTGTTAGATGCTCAACTTATTTGAATAAACTAACATAACTAAATCTAATGTGGAGTACTACTATCACTATTATCTACTGTAGAAAGTTTCGCATTTTTTTCAAAAGTTTTGCATTTTAACGCAACATGGTTATTAATATTTACTTGTGTGAATGGTAGTTAAAACTTTTTAAATTTATGAAAGTTATTGGTGAGATAATTGCTATTTTTATAGTGAGATAGTTTTAATATAACATGTAATATTAGTTATAATAAAACAATGAAAATAAACTTACACATTATTTGGGTAAATAAGTAAAATTTTCATTTACTTATTTGCCAAAAAAAAACTGCCCAAATAAATTTGCTAAAATAGTTTTTAAATTTATATTAATTTTAGTTTATTTGTGGAATTTTTGTTTATTTAGTTTATTTGTGTAAAGTATTCTTACAATTAATATTATTTAGTTAATTTTTTTTTACAGTTTCCCAGCAGGCACTTTTGTCCACAAAAAAAACCCGTCTGTTTCGCATGAAATGCCCGCTGCGTCGTAAAATATCTTTAATTAGAAATTTTTAAATAATTTTTTGTATTAAAACTGCTTAGAAAAAAATAACTCGAGTGTTTATTTTTGTGTGTGTGTGTGTTTAGAGTCATTGATGCCAATTTTTTCCGAATGGTTAAAAACATGCTTAACAAAAATACGTAGGTATTTGCAATTTTGATTGACACCAAGTTAAATATTGTCTTTTTGTCACTTGACTTTTGAGAAATATTTACATTTTATAATTATCACCAAAATATTAATATTTGTAATTTTAAACTGAGAATTTTCACGTAGCTTATTATTGTTTAGTTTTTTTTAAAGAAACTTTTGTTTAATCAGAAATTAATGAAGGAAAAAAGATTGCATCCAACTATTTATTAAATAATTTATGTATATCTTTAATGCGTTTTATTTGAATCATGGTTTGAATTGGTGTTATTTTTCTTAGAGTGTGGAGTATGTTATTGCAATATTTGAGACGAACATTACAATAAATCTTAAGCATTTAAAAATTATATTTTAAAGGTTAACTTATATATGAAATACCTTTTAAAATAAAAATACTTTTTTCTTTTTCCATTTAAAAATTAAAACTTTCAATGAAAAAAGTGAAATAAAATTGAAATGTATGAATGTTAGGACTATTTAAGAAAAGTTTTAAAAATTTAATTATTTGAAATTTTAAAAAAGAAGTTTAGAGAATTTAATTATTTGAAATTTTAAAAGAATGTGGAAAAAAACTGTGAATCAACGGCGTTGAAAGCATTTTTAAAATAAGTGTTATTACACAAAAAACGATGTTTTTTTTATGTAATGACATTTTTAAAATTTTACATTTTGTCAATGGTCCTTTAACCTTAAACTTATATTTAGTTATCAAAAATGAGTTCTTCGCGTAAAGTTTATAAAAGAACTTTTTCAAAGTATGACATCATCTCAAGTAATCCATCAGTAATTGCACTTAAAAGTCTATTTAACAAATACGATGTTAACGGCGACGAGTGTCTTGACGCAAAAGAACTTGCATCGTTGTTGACAACGGATATTGGTTTAAGCGAGGAACAAGCAGAAACTTATATATATATCCTCTACAAAAACGGAAAGACTTTTATTTCTTTTGAAGAATTTCAAGATTGGATGAATAATAACGATAACTTAAAAGACGTTACTGACGCAACCCGTTATTATTATTTACGAAAAGCCATTGAGATGTTTCAACGTTACGATTCTAACGATAATTTTTCACTTGATCGCGAAGAGTTAAGACTTTTATTATTAGAAACTGGTGGAAAAGAAGAACATCTTGAAATAACATTAAAACAATTGGATAAAGATGGAAACGGTTTAATATCATTCAAAGAGTTCTTGGAGTGGTTGAACTGGACTCCACTAAATGATATATTTAATTAATAATAATTTTTGAAATAAATTTTTACGTATTACACATATTATTACGTATTTATAATTGAAAAGGGATTTGTTTGCACGCAATTTATTTTCAAATTAAACTTATATGCTTCTGAGATTTTAGGAAATAAATTCATTGCTTTCTTAAAAAATTTAAAGTCCCGTAGGAATGATATTAGATGCAAAGCTGCATCATTTGAGAATTAAAATGGAAAATAGTTCTTTTGAAAACTCAGCGATTGTTGTTCTAAATGATATTGTATACTAGAATCATTCTAATATAGAAATTTGTTATTAATTTTATTGATTGTTATAGAAATTCAAATTAGGCAGTAAATTTTTTAACAGTCCTTTAGTAATGTTAAAGAAGTTTACACTAACACCTATTTTTATCATAACAGAATGATAGAACCAGGAGTAAAAATTTAAAAATTGAAATTTTCAATTTTGTCAAAATTGGCTCAGTGGCTAAATTTAATGAATGTAGCAATTAAATTAATGGTTAGTTTTTTGTCTTTAAATTGAATTAATTTTTTGGCTATTCTGGCATACTGTTCGTATCAAAACAGGTTCAAATACCATGGTCTTAACAAAAATAATTTTAAATTGAAAAAAAAAGAATGTAAAAGCTAATGAGCGTTTATTTAAAAATATATGAAATTTGTTCTTAACTCCATAACAAAAATACAAAAATAAAAGCACTACCTTTGTCTTTGACTTTTTGTCAACGATTTTAGTCATATATATATATATATATATATATATATATATATATATATATATATATATATATATATATATATATATATATATATATATATATATATATATATATATATATATATATATATATATATATATATATATATATATATATATATATATATATATATATATATATATATATATATATATATATATATAGATTATATATCAACCTGGTTCTAAAAAGAACCAGAATTTGATAGAGATTTTAGGAATATAATCTTAATGAAAATTTCATATTCGGTTAAAAAGTCATGCTTTTGTGAATATTTGATTAAAAGTGATTAAAAGTTGTTATTTGAAAAATTAGGCGAAGTTTTCATAATTTAAAGATTGAATGTTATCTCAGGGTGCGTCATCTGTTCCTGTTTTTATTAAGTTTTAAAAATAAAGGTAGTTCATTTTTGTGAAGAATTTCATGAGGAATCCGAATCTGCAAAAAAAAATATAGACCTGAAAATGTCTTCATTAGTAATAATATAAATATATATTTATACTATAATAAAATAAATATATATTAGTAGTAATATATATATATATATATATATATATTTATATTTATATTAATTTCTCTTGCAATAATTTTTTTTATCTCATGTTAGATTGTTACCTGTATATATAGGGTAGAGCAAGATATCCCTATGGACAAGAAACTCCCTGTGCATTTTTGTGTTAAATAGTATTGTTTAACTCCTATACTATTTGTAGTGTTACAATAGGTCAAAAATGCCTTTTTATTAAATGACAAAACAAAAATGTCAAAAAAAGAACTTTTTAAATAACTTTGTTAATAACTTACTTGGGCCCCTGGATCCTATGGGGCCCCAAACAGCGGCGATATCATTCCGGGTTTTTTTTTCTTCTTTTGTCTCCCCATCAAGAGCTTTAAGTTAAATAATATTAAAATAGCTCATTAAATTTAATGAAAATTACCGCAAAAAAGAGCTTAAGATCTAATACTTCTTTTTTTAAAATAAATTTAGCGTTGCGTAATTTATAAACAATCCCTAACCCTGGTCTGGAAGAGCTTTTGCTTAAATCTTATTTATATTTTGTTTAAATCTTATCTATATATATCTATATCTTGAATTTTGTAGAAAAAGTTATCACGTCATCAATTCTTATTTTAGAAAATGAACTTACTGAAGAATTGCTTTACATAAAACAAATTCATAAGGCAAATTTCGGAAAGAAACCTCGTGCCCCATTTGACTTATTAAACAAATTTCTTAAATGAAGCTTGGAAACTCTTTATAAATATAGCGATTGCATTGTGTATTTTTGCTTTAATTCCAGTGACAGTGGCCTCAAGTGAGCATTCATTCAGTAAATTGAATCTCATCAAGAATTTTTTGAGCTCAGTTATGAGACAAGAAAGAACAAGTGACCTCGCCATATTGAGTATCGAGTGTCTATCAGCACGAAATCTTGACTTTCATGATTAACATTGTAAGAAACAAAAGCTCGACTATTTAATTAAACTTATAAATCAGTAAAATAATCAAAAAATTTGAGCTTTTTTTTTTTTCGGAGTAAGGGGGGTGGGCCCCAAGCTGAAGGATGCTCGGGCCCCCAAATCCTGTGTACGGCCCTGGGCCTGTATATAACGTAGATAATATGTTAACACAATCCAATTTTTTTTACCGCTTCTAGGTGCGTGTGTCTGTCATACGTTGTCATCCACTCTTTTCTGTGTAAAAGTAATTTTTTTGTATTTTTTGAAACTTCTTAAACGAGCATACCGGCTGTTTTGAGACATTAGATAGTGGTTAAAATTTACTAATAAACAATGTAGTTTTTAGAACAAAGTGTTTTACATGCATAAATTACGTACTTATTGCACATTTAATGCTTTAATCCAGCTTGTGAAGCTTGGGGAGGAATGAGCCATTCCTTCACGGGTAGGAGTAGGCGGCTTACTAATACTTCACGATAAAAAAGTTTTACTTTAGCGTAAAAACATATTTAAGTTTGATTTTTATATCTTAGTATATTATTAGAAAACTCGTGTGCAACATTACATTTACTTTTACCATATGTTATAACGCCTCGAATAGTTAATATATGAAAGATGCATTACATTTAATCCAAAAAGGAAAAAGTATGAGAGAAATTGCAATAACTTCAAAAGTATTGCTACCTCGGACAACCTTTTCTGGAACAAGTAAAAGGTAGCATTGCCATTACAAATTTAAGGTTGTGTTTAACTATATCAGTATTTGCTAAATATTATTTTTATTGCCAATATACTATATACTACTTTCATTGCATATATATACTTTTATTATATCTTAATATTTAGAAATTATCATTTGTCATGACAGTTTTTTGTTTTGCTTTCAAAATTAGTTGTTACTGAAAACACTTTTTTTGGTAGTTTATATCGGGTGGACACGGAAAAATCCGGTCATCTTTAAATTGAGATTTCTCCAAAACAACAAATGCTTTTTATTTAATTATTATTTTTTTTAATTAAACTGGACTTCCTTATCTTAAATGGTGTTGATAAATTTTTGTTTACAAATTAATGATTTACAAAATGTTTTGGAAACAAGTTGAGGTGCGTAAAAAAGTTGTGAATTTTTTTTGCAAAAATCCATCGACTTCCTATCGCTTGATTGCTAAACGCACAAATGACCCAAAATCTACAGTCATAGATATTATAAACAAGTTCAAGACTACTCAAAGCTTCGAAAGAAAACTTGGAAGTGGAAGAAAAAAAACTTTCCATAAATCCAAAAAGGTAAAGTCGATTTTACGTTCAATAGCAAGAAATCCAAATCAGTCACAGCGAGATCTAGCAAGAAAATTTAAGACTTCTCGTTCTTATATCAAAAAAGTACTTAAAAATGCTGGAATTAAAGCATTTCCTTAAAAAAAATACACCTAAGAGAAGCTTAAATTGTGAAATTAAAGGAATTTGACGCGCAAAGAAGTTGGTTAAAATAATGGCGGATAAAAATATGTCCATAATTGAAGACGACGAAACGTATTGCAAGGCGGATTTTTCACAACTTCCTGGTCAACAGTTTTACTATGAAAACAAAGATAAACCTGTCGATGATCAATTTAAATATATTTGACGAGAAAAACTTGCTTCCAAGTTCCTTGTGTGGCAAGCAATTTGTAGCTGTGGTATGCAATCCTCTTGTTTTGTCACTAAAAAGACCTTGACTGCCAATCTCTACATCAAAGAATGCCTCCAAAAAAGACTTTTGCCTTTTATAAAAAAACACAAATACCGATGTCTCTTTTGGCCCGATCTTGCTGCCTCTCACTATTCTAAAAAAGTTTTACAGTGGTGCAAAGATAATAATGTGAAAATTGTTCCTAAAGATGCGAATCCTCCAAATCGTCCTGAAGAGCGCAAGATTGAAGATTTTTGGGCAATAGTTAAAGGAGTTCTTCGTAAGACAGGTGGACTAACAAATAATAAAAAAAACTTCCAAAAAAAGTGGATTAATGCCACCAATATGGTGAAAAAAGGAAAAATCTGTAAAATGATGGCATCAACCCGCTATAAAGTTCGATTTCTTGCCAAGCAACCCATCAAGCCCCTTAAAATAAAGTTGAAACTCTAATTTATATAAACACATTTAATAATAAAAAAATTGAAATAAAAAGCATTTATGGTTTTAGAGAAATCTCAATTTAAAGTTTTTTCCGTGTCCACCCGATACATTTTTTTTATTTCATTAAATGAGTTTAAAATTGTCTTAAATTTATTGTTATTTATTTTACATTATAACTTAATTATGTTATGCTTAATTATAAAGTATTTTATTTACTTAATTTTCAATAAATTAGTTAAAGAAAATGTCTAATTTTAGTTTTCTGGTAATCAAAGATAATGGCTCACTCCTACCGTTTGCTTGGTTCACTCCTACCAATGCATGGGTAGGAGTGAACCAGTAGCAACACCTGCGTTATTGTCCAAGTTATTAAAAATCTGAAGATATTTTGATATTTAATGTTTTAATATTAGAAACCTAATACATTAGGCTACCTTAGGCTCCTTATCCTATATTTTTTCCACTTTTGGTTTCCTTGATATAACTAGTTTAAAAAATAGTGGCTCACTCCTACCCATCCTCCTTTAAAAGCAAAAATGAGAACGAATTAATATCCAAACCTTCAATAAGGTTTTCAGATTCTATATCATAGTAAATTGGATTAAAGTTTCTAATTTGTTCTTTATAATTTGTTCTTTATAATTTGTTCTTTATAATTTGTTCTTTATAATTTGTTCTTTATAATAGTTTAGATCAGGATCA